ATTAGTCAATCAAAGGGTGTGTTTACTTCACACCAAAATTAGAAGTTTGGTTAAAATTGAAACGATGTGATAGAAAAATTGAAAGTTTGTGTGTGTAGGAAAGTTTTGATGTGATGGAAAAGTTGGAAGTTTGAATAATTATCTTGAAACTAAACACGGCGAAAGATAAAAGGCTGTTCTTGACTAAAGTCCTCTATAGAAAACATGATTATAAAAATATAGGAATATGGAGAAAAAAGTAAGAATATAATATCATATTTATTTTATTCCTTTAGGATTTTTTAAAACACAAGAAAGTTTTAAAATTGATGTTTGATTAGAATACATGAATTTTAAGACATAGGAAGAAGAAACCTTGAAGTGATGCTTATTTTCCTTTAAAATTACTCTGCAATTTCTCATTTCATAGAATTTAAAAGGAATGGTAAAAAAAAATCAATCATCTGTTTCAACTTTCCAGAGATCCATATAATTGTTTTCCATAAGCGCTCTAGAATTTCTATGTGTTTTTTTTTTCAAAGGGTGCCCTAAATGCCTGGAAAACAACACGTCCTTTAATTTGCCTAAAGCGAAAAGGCAAAAATGGGGAGCAGAAAAAGAAATCCTTGATTCGCCGAAAGCTACAAAGGGGAAATAGAGAACAGAAAAGAAAAAAAAAAGGGAGAAAGGAGGGAAAATGAAAACGTTTCGGCCACGCGTACGTAGGTATACCCAAGAGATATAGCCAGTGAGCCTTTAGCTGGAGTCCTACACGTATGTATACATCGAATCTCCCTTTCACGCACCAATTCCTTCGGTCTTTCTTGCCGTCGCTCTCTTCTCAGTTCATACATGCATACACATACGCGTAGCTAGCTAGTTAGACGTGCTATATATATATATATATATATATATATATATATATATATATATATACTCCCTCTGTACTCGTAAATTTAGTATTTAGGACAATATTTAAGTCAAACTTTAGGAATATAAATCATGAATAACCCTTAAGCTGTTGAATTTGAAAATGTAAAAATTATATGAATATATTTATCATGAAAATACTTTCGTAAGAGTATACATATATTACTTTTCAATAAATATTTTTTATAGAAACAAGATGTTAAAGTTATGTTTTGGAGACCGTGTCGCTGTCCAAAACGACTTTCTTTATGAGTGCAGGGGGAGTATACTCACTTTGATGATTTGATGATCGCGTAACTGCCCACACAAACTCACTTCAATTCAAGCTGGTCTTACAGGGCTTATTTGATTTGGAGAAATTTAAATCCATATGAATGGGAACCGTGAAAGAATAGCAATGTTTGCATACATCAATCCATAAAAATTTTCCAAAAGGTTTAGGTGGATGAAAAAATTGCTATATTTTTCTCTGTACAACTGGTTGGAAAGGAAAATTTTCTTTGGTTTTCCAGTGCTTCAATCCTTTTTTAGGTGAAAAATATGGCGCCGTAAATATAGCTACTCCCCCGTTTGTACAGTAATTACACATGTGTAATTTAGAGACTTACATATATAATTTTAGAACTTATATTATAAATACAATAAAATTACATATGTAATTTAGGGACTTACAATGTAAATACATATCGACTATTTTTTTAGTAAAAAATTTGAAAAATATGGCGTCATAAATATAGCTCATACCATCCGGTAAATCGAAAAGCACTCATATGAATTAATTATTAGAAATTCAAATCCTTCGGTTTTCCTCCAAAACGAACTAAGTCCCTTTTTTTTCCCTACACGAATTCCCTCGCTAGAAAAGCTTCTTTTGCAGCTGATTGGCTTACCTAGAATAGCAAGCATATACGGGGCTTGGAGCGGATAGAATTGGAGCATACAGATATATACAAAAACGCGTAACGCGTAGTTTGTTGCACTGGCATCGTGCATATATATATATATATATATATATATATATATATATATATATATATATATATATATATATATAACATTTCATAATAACATTTTCAGAGACGGAGAACGGCCTACTCGCTTTCCCTGTAAATCCAAGCAGTCGAGCACGCAAGTGTTTTGTATCTTTGCTATCGACTTTAATTTGCCGTGTGCGTGCGTTCGGTCCTGTTCGTTTATACTACAAAGAGTGAATAAAGTTTTGAGTAAACTTTTGAAAACTGTAACTTTAGTCACAAAATTATTTGTTTGCTGCAACATTAGCGACATATGTTTCAGTTTGCTGCAACAATATCGTGGGAAATTATCACAAAACTGTAACTTTTATATGTTATATGCTGCTACAGATGTTAAACTGCTAAACGATGTGTTTCGTGTGAAGACTTTCTATATAAAAGTTGTTCTAAAATATCAGATTAATCTATTTTTCAAGTTTGTAATAATTAAAACTCAATTAATTACACGTTATTACCATCTCGTTTTACATGAAACATTTAATTTTCATCTTCATTTTTCATTTTCAGAAGATTAAAAACACCACCGAAGTAGATAAGATGAGAACTAGACGAATGGAAAAGACGAAGTTGATTTAGGGTGTGTTTGAGGAGAAGGGGATTGGGGAGATTGGGAAGATACGCAAAACGAGTTGGGCCATTAGCATATGATTAATTGAGTATTAACTATTTTAAATTGCAAAAATGGATTAATATAATTTTTTAGAGCAACTTTCCTATAGAAATTTTTTGCAAAAAACGCACCGTTTAGTAGTTTGGAAAGCGTGCGCGCGGAAAACGAGGAGCTTTCTCACCCAATGTCACTGGAAAGAACACAGCCTTAGTCGCACGTAAAGCGAGAAATATAACTAATATATAATTATTTAAATATTAATCATTAACAGTTTAGAAGTTGGATATATTTATTTTAACTTTTAAAAATATTTTTGTGTAAACTTTTTTATAAAATATATCGTTTACTAGTTTAGTTTAAAAAACGTGCTAATAGAAATTAAGAGTTAGCTAATCCAAACCGAAGTCTAGATCGGGCCCGAAGCAGATGGATTGCTTTGCTTTGCTACTGCATGCCCATCCGATTGCGTGTAGAGGAGGGCAAGTAGCTGCAGCGCCAGCTAAGCTGTGCGTCGTCGGAGCAGCTCCGAAAACTGTTGGCAATTTGGCATGCATGGCAAGCAGGGAGAGAAGAAGAAGAAGACGACGAGCTTGCCTAGCGAGTAGCAACAAAGCAGAGCGCGTGCAGCAACTTCCTATCCAGCTACAATTGCAGCCTTGCATTTAAGCAAAGTAGGAGTTAGCAGGCCGGTATACCATACCGCTAGTGCTGTAGGAGTACATGCTTCTGTACACTATAGCTAGAAGCAACAGTAGCAGTGTAGCACAGTGCTAACTGCTACCCAACTGAACTACCGAGCACCAGGTTTGGTCAGGGTTACGCTGCCTATATATATAATGAAACAAAAGCCAATGGACAAGGCCGTGCTCAGTTCCATTTCAATTTTTTTAAGTGTACGGATACACATTTGGAGTATTAAATATAAACTAATAACAAAAATAAATTATAGATTTCATCTGTAAACTGCGATATGAATCTATTAAGGGCATCTCCAACAGAGGGCCAAATAGGTTCCTAAAAATTATTTTTTGGGATTTTGGTTAAAACTAGGCCTCCAACAGACTGTCAATCACGGTCCTAAAATTTACCCCCTCCTAAAATCGGTGCCAATCTCATCAGAATTTGGGAAGCGGTACGCCCTCCCAATCCCACCAATCGCGCCAATTTTTTTTACTGTCCGCGCCATTTTTTTTCCGCCCGCCTCCTTTTCCTTCCCGCTCCTTCCTCGCGTCGTTTCCTTTCTCGCGAGAAACAGCGCTCACGCCGCCAGGCTAGGGTTTTGGGAGCTCCTCGCGCTAGCTCCGTCCCGATCCGCCGGCCGCCCGTCGGGGGACTACCGGCCTGCCAGCCGTCCATCCAGGGGCAGCGTCGCCGGCCGCCCGTCCAAGGCACCACCACCTCGCTGTCGACCGTCCATCCAGGTTGTCCCGACGACAACGTGTGCTGTTACTGATTCACTTCGAGGTATTTTCAGAGAAACAACTTTATTCTTTTCAAGCTTGAAGTTCCTGTACTGATTTCCCCACACCGGCAATCCCCCACACAGCCATCTAGTTCATAGAGATATCTCCCAATTTTTTGATGGAGATGCAAAGCTCCTCCCTTAAATTGTTTCCCAAATCACTGCCACATACCTCAGTTGCAGCACTTATCTTCTGAATAATGCAATCAAAAACTGTTGTCCTGTCCTCTTCAAATGATTTCCAATGGATCAGGCATCGGTAGATGAGGTATGCGGCAATAGGCCTTGCAATAGAGAAACCCATATCTTCAGATATGCACTTTATCAACAACTCATGGATATTCAGAAAAATATAGAAAAAAATGTTGAGGCACAACACCTGAACGAATTGTGATACTGCTTCAAAAGAAGTTCAGAATTACTAAGCATCATACCTGTTGCTGCTTCTCAGCTTCAGGATCATTCAGGCGTCAGTTGAGAATTGTTCTCCTAGATTGAACTTAACTTGTGTTAAATCAGGAACTCATTTTACGAATATACTGATCAAATATAATTTGAGGATTATACTAACATGGATGTCACAAAAGTTACTGGCCTATACCAATTGTTAATTCAATAGTGTTTGCTTGCGTTTGTGTTCAGTCAGATGCATTCTTCTTCAGGTTGTATAGCACCCTAAATTAACTAAACAATGAGCTTCTATATGTGCAGGGTTTTGTTTGCTTGCAGCAGTATTTGATGACCTTTTCTTAGATAATTTAAGTGTTTGATGACCTGACCAGTTAGCTGCTCATTGGCTAGATATTGCTATTAGTTTCTAGTATTTTCTGACCTTAACTTTTTAGCCTTTTGTAATGGATTCAGTGAACATATGTCTGAATTAAATTGCAGAGTCCCAAGATGCTAGTACTTCTACAAACGTATTAGTAGTACTGTTCTTATTTGATCACTAAATTAAACAAACATGTACTATTTGTAGGTCCTATTGATAATGGAAGAAGAAGGATTCTATACTAATTTGATGAATGAGGGCAACGATTCCTTAGATTGGGATAGTTTGAGTAGTATGCCTGTGGAGGATGATATGAGTAACCAGCTTGATGAGAATGGCATGAGTAGCGAGCCTGTCACGCAGCAGTTCCCAACTGCTGAGAGGACTACCGTGGCTAGACCAAATCAAAAAAGATCGAAGAATTTTAGCGAACAAGAAGATAAGATACTTGTGTCGGCGTGGTTGCATGTAAGTTTGGATCCAGTGCTAGGCACAAATCAAACTCGTGCTGCATATTGGACTAGAATATATGAGCACTTCTACAAAACGAGTAAATCCACACCAGATCGCAGCCAAAATTCACTTATGCATCGTTGGAAAACTATACAAGAGAATGTCAACAAGTTTTGTGGACATCTGAGCCAGATTGAGGGTAGAAGGCAAAGCGGGGTTAGTATACACGACAAGGTAATACATAGTTATGTAGCTTGTGTTTTTATGTTACTTTATAAATAAAAATGTGATGTTTGCTAACTACATTCACCATACTTGACTTGTGCAGATTGCTCAGGCAATTGCTGTATTTAAGGAGTTGGAAGGAAAGCCCTTTCAATTCCTTCACTGTTGGTCTCTCTTGCGGTCACAATCTAAGTGGCATGATAAGATGAAGCAAATAACATCCCAGAAACCCTGTGCCACCAACAGACAGAAGCCAAGCACAGATGGTTCAGCAAAAGCTACACCCACAAATGATGAAACTACCAATCATGTTGGTGAAGATAATGAACCTACAGAGACCGAAGAGCCAAAGAGACCGATGGGTAAGAAGAGAGCTAAAGAGCAGTTGAGGCGTGGTGAAACATGCACAGATGCTTTTGATCATTTGTGGGAGAAAAAAAAAGAAGCTGATGCAGAGAAGAAGAAGGAGAGAGATGAGAGGCACCAAAAGTCATATGAACTAGATAAGCAGAGGCTTGAGTTAGATAAAAAAAAGGTCGCGAATGAGACGGATGAGATACAGTTGAAGAGGATGTTAGAAGAAGAGAGAATTATGAAAATGGACATTTCTTCCAAGCCTCTCTCACAGCAGCAGTTCTACAAGAGTGTACAAGATGAGATCATCGCTCGTCGCATGAACAGTTCCGGTTGATAGGTTTGTGTTTCATAACAGTTTACATTCAGTTGAGTGCCTGTGTTCATGCATATACTTGTTCTTGTGTCCATCTTGTTGAAATGCTGCCTTTGCACAGCTGCACTACACCATCTGATTCTTAAATATGTTGCATGATCCACTACACCGTCTGGCAATTGTGTCTATTTTGTGTCTCTAAATTAGGTGGGTTTACTAAGTCTATGCAATGCAAACTATTTAAATTCAGAATTGTCTATTCAGTACTTGGGTAATTCCCTCATCCTGCTGTCAGTAATGCTTCTGTCTTTGTTGCTGTTGACAGAGTCAGAAGCCTCATATATTTTGAAATTTGTACTAATGATCGGTCATCTTGCTGACAAGCTGATGCATATATTGCAAATTATATATAAGCTGAACTGTACCTATGACTAGGTTGACAAGTTAAAGGAAGTGCACTTTTATTAATTCTCCTGTACTATTCTTAAACCGAACAGTACACCATTTATTCAATTCATGAAAAACAAATTAAGATGATTTGGCAAATCCTCACATATGTATATTATTTATTACATGGAATTCAAACATATAAATAAAACCTCAATATTTATCCGGATAATGTTGCCACAAGTGCTCCACTAGGTCTTCACGTAGCTGATAGTGAGTTTCGTCGTCCCTTATTTTTTTGTGCATCTGGATAAAATCATCAAGATCAGGTATTTCATCGTGGGACACTCTGACATTTTCTCCTCCCTCTGGGAACCGTTCTTCCCAATCAACTTCTCCCTCATCTTCAATAATCATGTTATGCATGATAACACAAGCTTTCATGATGTATCCCAGAGTCTTTTCATTCCAATGTCGAGCTGGCCCTCGAACAATGGCAAATCGAGCTTGCAGAACCCCAAAAGCTCGTTCGACGTCCTTCCTTACTGCTTCCTGTGCTTTGGCAAAATATTTCCTCTTGTTGCCATGTGGTTCTGGTATGGTCTTCACAAATGTGGCCCAAGAAGGATATATGCCATCAGCAAGATAATATCCCATCATATAATCGTGTCTATTTATACTATAGTTCACTTCAGGAGCCTTGCCTTCAGCTAGCTTTGCAAATAGCGGGGATCGATGAAGTACATTGATATCGTTATGAGACCCAGGCATACCAAAAAAAGCGTGCCAAATCCAGAGATCCTTTGAAGCAACGGCTTCTAAAATTATTGTAGGCTCGTGCACGTGCCCTTGGTACATACCGTGCAATTCTGTAGGGCAGTTCTTCCACTTCCAATGCATGCAATCTATGGAGCCTAACATACCGGGGAAACCTCTGTCCTCCCCAAGTTCAAGTAATCGAGTTGTATCGTTCTCATTGGGTGATCTTAAGTATTCATGTTCAAAAACTTGTACAACTGCTTTCACAAACCTTCTCAGGCTCTCTATAGCGGTACTTTCTGCAATACCGAGATATTCATCCAAAGCATCTGCTGCTATACCATAAGCCAACTGACGCATTGCTGCAGTGACCTTTTGATGACAACTGAACCCAATTAAACCAGCTGCATTTCTCTTCTGCACAAAATAGTCATCGTGATCCTCTACTGCATTCATTATGCGAAGAAACAGAGGCCTGCTCATTCTATTCCTGCGAATCATAACTAATGAGACATGCATATCTATGCATATAACAAAAATAAATTATATAAAATTTACTTATACAAACCTGCGCCTGAATAAAACTGGGCCATAGGTAGGATTATCAGAAAAGTAGTCTTGGTATAATCTCAAGTGCCGTGCTTCTCTGTTGCGATCAATCACTTCATGTCCCATGACTGACCCACCATGTCTTGGTGCATTGACAGAGTGCCAATAGCTATGGACGATTTGTGCCGTGGCAAAAAAAAAATCATCGTCATCGTCAGACGATGATTCATCCACGAGCTGTTGAAACGAGGAGCGAGGTCGACTCATCTTGGATCAAATCAACTGCCAAACCATTATTCATCACAATAAATTAAGTTTTTCCCCTTGCGACGTTGTCAGATCAAATTAAAAAAAAATGTGATTGGCCTTCCGTTTTTCCAAATATTTATTCATCATATCAAATTAAGTTTTTTTTTCCATCAAGACATTGTCAGATCAGAAACATAAAAAAAGGAAATAGAACAAAGTAAAAAACATGGTTGCTAGCAAAATTTTGCTACTCACGCACTGCACAAGAGCTTGTGCCTGTCACCAATCGTTGCTGCTTGCTGCAGCTACCTGATTAAGTGAGGTGCTAACGTCGCCGGCCCTGACAGAGGAAGAGCTCTGATTGAGTGAAGTGCTAACGCCGCCGGCGCTGACAGAGGAAGAGCTCTATGTGCGTCTATAGCACTGTGTCCTTCGATCAATTTCGTATATCGCTGCGTCTGATATATAACCTCGCCAACGGTATCAGTTGCGATCTCGCGCGCGACTAGGATGAGCAGCCATCTCCTTCCGTCCGCGTGCGTCGCGTCGACCATGCCCATTCCCCTCCGCATCCGCACGCCGCGATCTCCTCCTCGCCTCTCACGCGCGACGCGATCTCCCCCTCCGCTCTCGCATGTGATTTTAACGAGCAGGTAGAAAATTAGTTGGGAAGGGCCCACTAATGATGATGTGGAAAAATTTTAAAATTTTGGGAACCAAATTTTAGTCATCTCTTGGAGAAGAGGGTGTATTTTAGGCTAAATATGTTTTTGGCTGTCCCCAATACAGGATTTTTGGGAGTTTAATTTTAGTCATCTATTGGAGATGCTCTAAGCCTAAGTAATCCGTCATTAGCAAATGTTTATTGTAGCACCACATTGTTAAATCATGAAGCAATTAGGCTTAAAAGACTCGTCTCGTAAATTAGTCGCAATCTGTGCAATTAGTTATTTTGTTAGCATATATTTAATACTTTATGTATGTGTTCAAACGTTCGATGTGATAAGGTGAAAAATTTTAGCCTAGGATCTCAACAGGGTCTAAATTTTGTTTTGATAGGAAATGAGCTAATTATTATTGCTAAAGATATATATGCCCAATTCAATCCCAATTCAATATCAGTATTTAGTTCACATCAAAATTGAAAGTTTGGTTGAAATTAGAACGATATGACAGAAAAGTTAGAAGTTTATGTGTGTAGGAAAATTTTGATGTGATGTAAAAGTTGGAAGTTTGAAGAAAAAGTTTAAAACTAAACTCAGCCATCATCAACCACTCTTCCAAGTAAAGCCTGAATTTACCTAGGGTGAATTCTTATGTTCCACCGGGAGTTTTGATTATAGCCTCGTCGGATATAGAAGAAGACGAAGACGAAGTACACACGTGAAACGAAAAAGACCATTAATGTATAATTAATTAAGTTTTAATTATTATAAACTTAAAAGGTAGATTTATTTGACTCATATGTAATAAAGTTTTTTTTTCAAAAACATGTTAATAAAAACCGAGATAAAATCTTCATCTTGGTCGTAAACGAACAAAGGCATATGTGTCACCTTTTTAGTCTTTCATTACTAGCACGGAATTTTCGTCACACATCCCCGGTAGTAGAAACAAAACAAGTGACGAACCGGCAGTACGCGTTTACTAGCGGCGAGCGGTGGCACGCCGCGCAACGGCGGCGGCGACGGCGACGGCTCAACCGACGGACGGACGCGGACACGCGTCGGCCGGCGGCGGCGCGGCGCGCACATGCAGATGCACACGCGTTGCAGAAGTGCAGAGGAGTACTGGTGCCATGGGCCTACGTGTACATGACGCAGCTAGCACTAGCTCGTGGCACTGGGAAATTCACTTTATACACTCCAACACTCCCTCTTACACGAGACCCTATTAAATCTCAAGCGTGCTTCCTCTCACACGAGATCCTATCAAATCTCAAGCGTGAAATATTGGAGTGGACTGCAATTATTTTATTTAATATTGGAGTGGACTGCAATTATTTTATTTAATTGCTCGCCAGCCAGGATTCGAACCCGAAACCTCTGACTCTGATACCATATTAAGCTGCATGTAACAATCAGTTACACCTAAAAGCCTAAACTAATAAGAAAAGACGGGTAATTCACTCTATACGCTTCAACAAGGAGGGCAAATCAGTCATGCTCCCTCTTGACTTACGAAGAAAGTCGTTTAGAAGAATATTTAAATCAAATCTTAAAAATATAAATCATAAATAACTATCAAGTTGTTGAGTTTAAAAATATAAAAATTATATAAATATATTTGTCTTGAAAAATACTTTCATAAAAGTATACATATATCACTTTTTAATAAATATTTTTATAAAAACAAGAAGTCAAAGTTATGTTTTAGAGACCGCGTCTCTGTTCTAAACGACTTCCTTTATAAGTATGGAGGGAGTATCCATTTCACATATACTTATGGTCTTGTTTACATCCCAACAAATTTTAGCCAAAAACATCACATCAAATATTTAGCCACATGTATAGGACATTAAATATAAAAAAACAATTACACAGTTTGCATGTAAATTGCGAGACGAATCTTTTGAGCCTAATTACGCCATTATTTGACAATGTGGTGCTACAGTAAACATTTGCTAATGGCGGATTAATTAGGCTTAATAGATTCGTTTCGCAATTTACAGTTGGAATCTGTAATTTGTTTTGTTATTGTGTACGATTAATACTTCAAATATATATCCGTATACTAAAAAACATTACACCCAAAGAACTAAACACACCCTAACATAACAACTTCATCTGTACTAAAATAAATTTATTTTTCAACCATTACACATACTTTATTCGTCTCAAAATAAACTAACCTGATAGGAAACGTGATTCATCGTATTTTTTGACGAAGGGAGTATAACAATATAAAAAACAAAAACTAAAATACTCCTACTTAATCACATCCCAATATAATTATTTTCACAACTTTTAATATAGTTATTTCTTATTACTCTTACAAACTTCGATATATTGATTACTCAACAATTAATTTATTTTGGGATAAATGGGTGGAGTAAAAATGAACGCAGAGTACTGCATTTGTTGCTGTGGATTAATCGCCGCGACAGCCAGCCATGGCTATGCCCGTACCCACATCCCCCTGGGAGAAATAAGTTGAGCGCTTTGATAAACTTTGATTGTTGTTACTCGAACAAGACAAGGCACTGCAGTTTCAGAGGATCCGCGCGCCAGTGGCCATCGCCGAATGTGGGCGATGTGTTGATGGCCACCAGTTGTGCGATGATGTGTGTACTAGTGTCAAGTGTTTGTGTGTGTGGATCACGGGACGAGACGATGTGTGCAGTTGCCGAGCAGGGGAAGGGCAAAAGCAGGCAAGGATTGAACATGGCTCCAGCAGTCCAGCTCCAGATGAAAAGAGCACCGCGCTAGTTTCCCAAGTGATCTATAGCTAGCAGGTGCGACATGTGGTAGGCTGGACATGGTAGACGACCGACCATGAACCAATATACACGTCGACTTTCGAAACGCTAAAGTTTTTTTTCTTTTTTCTTTTTGCCTACAAAACTACTTACCTTGGACTTGTACAAGCACTAGTACTATATTATTAGTGTGTAAATTAGTGGTCAAGGTTATATTTAGGAGACAGTAACAATCTAGCAGAGTGGTAGTACCTGGGCTGCACGGAGTAGCAGCAGTAGTTCAACTTCAAAGCAGGCACGGGCCCCGCGGCGAAAGACCCGCAGTAATTGCCGGCCGCAGAGTAATGCCATTTAGGCCTTGTTTAGGCCCCATTTGATTTAAAGTAAATTCATAGAAATTTTAGGGCACCTTTGAATCACAGGAATGAAAAAATGGAGGAATAGGAAAAATATAGGATTCTGACAGGAATACAAATATAAAACAGATGATTGCAAAACACAGGAAAAATATAGGAATGATCGTTTGATTGAGCCGCAGGAAAAACACAGGAATTTAAGGAGAGATAAAGACTCAAAAGATTCTTAACATGAGGTAGAACCTCATGCTAAATTTCCTCCAAAACCTGCATGGGAAGAGGCATTCCATAGAAATTTCATGGGATTATATAGGATTCATTCCTTTGATTCAAAGGGCTATATAGAAAAAATTTCTATAGGAATAAAATCCTTTAAAATTCTTATGAATTTCCTTTGAATCAGAGGGAGATGATTTTATTTCTACAGGAATTTTTCCTATATAGCCATTTAAATCAAAGGAATGGATCTTATAGAATCATATGAAATTCCTATGGAATACCTAATGCCATACAAGTTTTGAAGAAATTCTAACATGAGGTAGAACCTCATGGAAACTTTCCTTTGAGTCTTTATCTCTTCTCTAATTCCTGTGTTTTTCCTGCGGTCCAATCAAACGGCTATTCCTGTGTTTTTCCTATGTTTTGCATCCTCTGTTTTACACTTACGTTTCTATCAAAATCCTACGTTTTTTCTATTCCTACGTTTTCTCATTAATGCGATTCAAAGGGGCCCTTAGTTCGCGAAAAGAAAATTTTAGCGTGTCACATCAGACGTTTGACCGGATATCAAAAGGGGTTTTCGGACACGAATGAAAAACCTAATTTCATAACTCGCCTAAAAACCGCGAGATAAATTTATTAAGCCTAATTAATCTATCATTAGCACATATGATTTACTGTAGCACTTATGACTAATCATGGACTAATTAGACTTAAAAGATTCGCCTCACGATTTTCATGCAAACTAGACAATTAGTTTTTCATTTTATCTATATTTAGTGCTTCATGTATGTGTCTAAAAAATTCGATATGACGTTTTTAAAAAAAAAAATTAGGAACTAAACAAGGCCTTGCTCGAGCAAGGGTCGTCGAGTCGCGTTACAATCTGAATATCTTATGCCCGCTGCTTTTCTCGATCGGTATGGTGTGCTCGTACTTCGTAAGTGCAGGAACGCTTAGATCTGTTACTCGCTTGGGACTTTATATATACTGGAAACCAGACGTAGATTTTGCAGTAATAACAAGTATAGTTCCTCCAGAATATGGTTTCTTTACCGGGTGGGAGGTAATAAGATATGGATGTTACCTGCACACATCACGGAATGTGGGAAATTGCGAGGTTTTGAAATGCAAATCGAGCTAACTGGATCACTTTGTTTTGGTCTCCTCTCTGCACCTTTTCACCATCTCCTGATGAGGTACTGTATTTTCGCTGAACAACCGTATCTTTCTTTCAACGAGCATATATCTGACGAGAAGCAGGTTCAGAAATTCAGCAGTGTAAATATAGGTAGAAACTAGAGATGGAGATGAAGACCTCAGGAACCCAAACACGTTCACGCAACAAATCGATAAAATAACAAACTTCAAAATCTATCGTTGGTGCCAGCTGCGTATGATCGTAGCATTGAAGATTGATGCCAAAATAAGGTAAATCTGTCGCCAAAACAAAGCAGTGCAGGACAGCAACTGCTTTCGGCAAGAGTAAGTACATCAAACTTAAAAATTCATATTCAATGAGGTAGGGAAGTGCAAGGAAGGCTCCAATGCTGCTTGCACCGGGTGAATGTTTATCAAACGAAACATGTCCATTGAAAACATGACAACATAAACTTTTGTAGATTCAGAAAAAAGGGAATACCTAAAGAGCAATTGAAACAGTTTACTATCTGTGTAGGATTACAGTTTAAGTTCATGCGGTTGTGCAGATAATCTTTTAAGGTCGCCTAAAGATAAGCAGCTTTCCCTGATTGGCAATTAATTTCTGCCTAAAATAAACAATCTCAGCTCGTAGATGTTTATCCGGAAAGGTGACATATTATCATATCCTTATTATCCACAACTGAGAAGATTCCATTAGTCATTTTCTATTACTAGTGTAAAGCATTAGCTGAATGTCCATGCACGGAATGCTTGATACATGGAAGCATGAAGCCAAAAGCTCAATTATTAGAAGCAACAAAAAGTAGGCCAAGCCAGGAGGTCAAGGGAAATGGATTAATTTTAGGAAGGAATCCAACCTAACCTGGCAAGGTGCCCCATCGTGCCAGCTATTTGCGAAGCCAGACCAGCACCAATGCAATGTACTTTGGTTGTATGCCTCTTCAGTCTATTCACAACCAACTGCACTGTGCTTTGGATATATACGGGGCTTGTGTGCCACCTGACCAAGGGCCAATTAGTTAAATTATAACACAAATAGCATATCAAATGTTTGATGCATGTTTTAGACAAGTGTATCATAGTATCATATCACAAGCATGCACAGCGACAGGTGAATGCTGATATATTACTCCTTGGTTGAGGAGTATGCTTAATTGCATATAGCATCTTCAAAATCATTATGGCATGGTAATATCAAATTTTCAACATTACAAATTATTAATATTGTTTTGAGAAACTCATTTGATATAAATATGATAGCAAATAACTATAGAATTATTATATTACGTTTATAGCATTATAATCTATCAATCTAAGAAGTCCAAGTTGGAGAAATTTGACCGCACTTTCTAAAGCGAAATATATTTCTAATGGAAGGGGTACCACTTTAGCTCTTGGTGTTCTTTGTCGAATTCTTCCAAATTAGTTAGTACTTAAAGGAGCATAAACACAATTCATACAAATGGAAATAAATATAGGATGATGATTTATTTCAAAAATGACAATATAACGAACGAATTAAGGAAGTATTGGCACAGCCTGAATATACCACTATGAAGTGAGGCATCTCTTCCCTTTTGGTTGGCGATCCTAGTGCAAGCCCATTGAGTTTATATAAATAAGGCGGTCCATAGGAGTAATAATTGAATATACATTTAACAAAATGTTATATAAATAAGGTGGTCCATATGAGTATTTGAATATGTAACAAAATTTACGATGAGATAGAGCAGGAATACAAAATCATTTGTGTAATGTACTAAGAACATGTTGAAATCGTGAAATGCAGCACCACATGCGTATAATGTCAAATCATTATCACACTTCCAACATTAAACCAATGGAAAAGGGCAAATAAAACATGGAACATGCAAGGTATCTGGCAGGAGGAAACAAGATATCACAAGAAAACAGTGCAGATCATGCTATGTTCAGGTGACTACGAAGTAGAACAGCAAACCTGTCAGAAAGCAATAAAGTCCTGCCAGGTATTTTGTGTTTTCACCATGTTTCCCAGAAATAAAATGACTGAGCAAACAGTTCCAGTATTGCCATAAATGGTACTCCCTCCGGGTTGATAATACTTGTCGTTTTGGACAAGGGCACGGTCTCCAAAAAACAACTTTGACCATTATTTTCTATTATAATATGTATAAAGTGTTAACAAATATATAAATTTTATTAAAGTACTTTTCAAGACTAATCTATACATGTAGTTACCATATTTGAAAGATAAATATTTTAAAAATGATTCATAATCAAAGATTCTAAAGTTTGACCTCACCCTTGTCTAAAACGACAAGTATTATCAGCCCAGAGGGAGTAACTTAACAACCATTGTGTGTGTGTGTGTGTGTGTGTGTGTGTGAGAGAGAGAGAGAGAGAGAGTTACCAGTTGACAACGTGGATCCCAGAATCTGATCTTCCAGGAATCAAACAGTTTTGCTTCCAGCATATCAAGATGTGTGCACCGAAAATGTCGGTTTACCTAAAGGCACATGAGGGCTGAGGCACAAAGTAGGTAATTCTACTGTACTTATAAGAATATTTGCTGGATAAAGAGTTAATGACACATTTTATTTAGTTTAGTTGATAACAAGCACATAATATGATGTGTGAATAATTCAGCACAAGCACGTATAGGAAAAATATTTTCTGTCATGTTGAACCTCAAAAAATTATCTGTACACATATTTGACCCTGATCCTCAACTTCCAAAACTCAAAATATAGGAATAGCTAATGAATTGGAAGTTTCCACTGCAACAAATAAGCAAATAGAAATAATACTAATAATGTTGCAAAGGAAGACAGTATAAAAAATGAAGTTATCATTGATGACTAAACAGGAAGCAATGAAAGCAGATGATTTCCTTTCCTATCAATCTCCCAAGCACATTCACGTTGATGCACCACCTTTTCTTCTCCTAGTCGTCCTCTTTGCAGTATATTGAGACCCAGCAGCAACTTTGCTGGTATTCTGATTATCATTCACAGGCTGCTCGTCTGGAGCCTGACTGACCTCTGGAGATGCATTTGTGTTTGGAAGAGTTTTTGCTTTCTGTGATCTGCTTGTACTAATCTGCCTTCTTAGGCGCAATATCTCACCCTTTGCTAACGCCAACTCCTCTTCAAGATGTCTAGCCCTCATTTCAAAACTCTCCTTCTCAGTCTGAAGCCTAGAGATAAGATTCTGAGCATCCTCAGTGTTTTCATGAGCTTCAGTTGTGATCTTCTGTTGCTCAGCAAGAGCCTTTGATAACATTTTTTTCTCTGCTTCAAGAGTGTCCTTCCTAGAATTAGTTTCCTCTAGCTCCTTTGATAGTGATAATGCACTCCTGTTCATCTCGTCTAGTGACTTTGTTGCTTCATCCAGGTCTGCTTCAAGAGCTTTTCGTGCTTCAGAATCCATCTGTAGTTGTTTCACCAAAGCCTCAAGCTCCCTATTCAAAGTAGTGACAGTTTTCCTTTCATCAACAAGCTCCTGTGACGTGGATTCCAACTTCTTGAACACATCGAGCAATTCTTTCTTCAGGTTGTCACGAGCTTCCACAATGGATGCAAGCTCATTAGAAGTGGCTTCAAGTTCTTCCTGTCCCTTGTGAACCATCTCCTTAACAGAGACAAGTTCGTCTGACAGAGCTTTAGATACTGATTCTACCTCTCCTAGTTTGTTAGTAAGGCCCTCTTGCATTTCATTGAACTCATCCTGGAGTTTAGAAATTTGCAGCACCAGGTCCTGGTTCATTCTATTTGCTTCATCAAGTTCCACTGAAAGTTTGGATACCTCACTTCTGGAATCTGTCAGTGCCTCCTCTGTGGATTGAAGTGATTCTCTTAAACTTTTAACTGCAGCAACTTCATTCTCTAGCATTGCTTTTGTTGCATCCAATTCCTTGTTCAGCGCAGCGATGTTCTCACGGTCTTTGCTAGAATCACTTAATGCATCAGAGAGTTTTCCATCAAGCTGTTTGATCATATTATCTTTTTCTAATAGTAGCTCAGAGTTGCGGCTCTCTCTTGCTTCAGAAGAAGCCTTCAGGTCTGTATAATCTTTTGTTAACTCACTTAGCTTTTCCTCAGCTTCATTCTTTGCAGAGTTCAGTGCTTGAAGTTCCTCATTCAGTAAATCAATTGAAGATATCTTAGAAGAAAGATCATTTCTAGTTCTATGAACCTCTTCCTCCAGTTGCTGTATTTTAGCTTCTGCAAGTTCTAGACTCTCTTTAGTTTGGTCAGAGAAAGAGCACAGATTACGGTAGTCTGCTTCCTTTGACGAAAGTAATGAACTGAGTTCCCTGATGCGTATACCCTTATTATCAATTTCTTGGCTAAGCAAACTTACTTTTTCCTGCAAAATGTTGACATCACCCAACTTTTCCTTCAGTTTGGCTTCAAGAACATCTTTGTCATCCCCAGCTTGTGCAAGACTGCTCTCTAGTCGACGTATTTCTTCCCTAAGCTCCTCAGCCAGTGTCTTCTCCCTTCTGAATTCTTCACTTAGCGAAGTTACCGTCTTTTTTGTTGAAGACAACTGATCTAAAAGAGAGGCTTCCTGCTCCTGAAACTTCATTGCTTGCTTCTTTTGTGCTGTTTGTTGATCCAGCAATCTTTTCTCGTAGTTTTCCCTCATCAATGAGATTGCTGCCTCATTTTCAGCCAGTTTGCTCTCCATCTGAACAAGTTAGCAAAATGGATATGTCAGCTAATGTCCTATATTAGCACATCATTTTTTAAAAAGGTTTTCAAGTATGAGAGGTACATAAAATAGTTTTGGTAGCCTCTTGCATATAAATCTGAGTTATATTGTGCTGTGAGAACTTAAGCAACGCTTGTTTTCCTAAGGGGAAACATCATGACGGAAAATGAGTTAAAACTTTTTAAGCTCTTCATGAGTTCTATACTTTGTTAGTTATCAGGTTATAAACTTGAGGGTGCACAGATTTTCTAGATAAAAGAAAATAAACAAAACACACAAGCATATGTATGCAATCACGGAATGTACAACTCTTTAATGTGTATGCATGCAAAGATGGTTACTTCGTGGAAATTTGACTATGCAAGGATGTCATGGGACACTTCAAAAGTAGTAAAATAGAAACAGTAGTAATGGACACTAATTACAGGTTTGCAGATGTTTTACAGATGAGACGACGGATTCCAGGGCCTTCTTTTCCTGTTGAGAAGTGCCATACAGTCCAGCAAGAACACCGGAGGCAGCAACTGCAATTGCATTCAAAAGACCAGAAAGTGGATTCCCAGGAGTTTGTTCTTGCGTGACGGGCAGGGATGATTCTGGTTGCAAAGCTTCAGGTAGAGGAGATTCAGCCTGAGTTTCCCCAGGCTGAGGTTCATCAGGCTTTTGAATATCCTTTGTCTCTACAGAGAAAAACAATATAAACTATTTATTCCAAGTTTGTACAGGATATTTCCAAATTAGTCCTAATATGCAAGCGCCAACATGAGATGACAGGAAGGCAGCACCAACAAAATCAATCCAAACAATATCACATGCCCAGGTCCCAATACCAGTTTACAAAAGAACCATATAGTAAATCCAACACATTCCAGTGGTTAAGATAGGTCAAAAGAACTTTGCAGGTACACCTCAAAGTATTTATGCCAGAAAACAAAAATAATGCAGCACATGGTAGTAGACCACGACAGGGTTCGCTAACATAATCATAGACCCCGTATTTAGTATGAGCTACTTGTATGAGGGGGAAATTCTGACCATCGACAATAGCCTCATTAGGTCTACATATGACAGTATTACGTCCAATCTTGAAAGTTTTGTAGCAAGTCTGAGCTTGATGATCTATCCTTGGGAAATCAACCCGCTTTCTTCTAATAAATCCTTGGGGAAATGACATGCCATAAACTGCGGGAAAATGAAGAAAAAATGACATATGGTCACATGCCATAATCAGACTCAAAATTCACTGGGATAAGTTGTGAATAATGAGCATGCATGACTCCAGTTTGAGACTTTGTCATCAGAATGTGAAATTATTTTTTATTAAAACAACACACTTCCATGCAAATACCAGCCAAATTCAGCTTATAAATTTATCAAAACTTCCCTTATCCCTAGTTCCAAAATGCATAGGGAATCCGCGTGGTGTACTCAGGATGCCTAACACATGGAATGGCAATCATAAATCATCCACTGCACCTCACATAGTGGATTTGTTCCATTTCAAAACTGGTCAACAGAATGAAAATGAATTTGTTTGCACAAAACCTATACAAAAGGGGTACAAAGGGTAAGATGATATACTGTAAGTGTACAGTTTACTTAGATGAGCCATCTACAGCCAAGACCACCTTCATGTAAAAATATCTTACTGCATAAAGCATTTACAAACTCTTTCTACCTTTTGCACCAGTACAAACGATCACTGTGACATTCTAGGTCCATTCTTCCATCTGATAGTTCCACTCTAGTGCTAATTGAGGTATTAACATGTAGAAGTCCATATAGAATCACATTCAACATGTGTATGTTTGCAGAAATAGTCTCTGCTTGTGGGAATTGTGCTATTCCAACCTCCTAATTCCTTTCCATCCATGCGTATCCCTGCTCAAGGAAAGCGATTGCGCTTGTCCCATGCATACATAATTGCTTAGCAGCATTTGTTAGCAGATACATTGTAAACTCTTCCACCATTAGCCTGAACAGAAAGTTCAGATTTCTCATGTGGAGCTAAAACGTCCATATAATGCAACGCTGTACGTTAGCAGTAATCTCCATGACTGAATCCACAAAACAATCTATACAATTGGACATTACAGAAAATTTAAAGCCCAACCATAAATGATTCAAATCGCACACAGATTTCATATGGTACTCCACAATGCCAGACCGAATAGTATCCAGGCTGGGAGAAACACAAAACGAGAACGGAATTCAACCAACTCCTGGAAAGGAGAATGGCACTCACCCGTTGCGAGATCCCCGCTGTTAGGCGTGGCCACCGCGGCCGCCGCCGCGGCTTCCCTGGCGCGGAGGAGCGGGAGCGCCGAGACGCCGAGGAGCACGCCCCGCCGCGCCAGCACGTACGCCCCCGCCGCCGCCGCCGAGTGGGATGGGCCGGCATCACCGGACGACGACGACGACGACGCCGAGCTCGACGCGACGATGGCCGCGCCTCTCCGCGCGCGGCCTCCTCGGCGGCACCGGAACGCGAGCGGCCGCGGCGCCGGCGACGGCGCGAGGAGGAGGTACCCCATCCCGTCCCCCACGACGCGACAACCCCAAAACCCTAGCCCCCCCTCCTCGCGGTGGCGCTCGCCTTCGAGCTCGGAAGCGGAAGCCCGCAGTGAAAATGGCGGAGGTGAGGTGAGGATTAGGCGATGGCGAAGGCGGAGGCGGAGACGGCGTCACCGCGTCACGACGGGTCCGAGCTGGCGAGAGAAAAAGGGCAAAACCTTTTTCATGTACCCACGAAATGACCCTTTTACCCCCCGACCCTTTCAATCCAGCACTGAACTCCGCGAGCACCTCGGTGAGGGTAATTTGGGGCATTCCCCCACGCGGGTGGTGGGACCCACTGGCAGCGGGAGTGCGGGTCCAGTGAGTGAGGGTCTTTCTGTTTTGGGATTTCGGAGGAACGGAGGAAGCGAGCTGATCCGGAGCGAGAGATGAGGATTGCGCCACGTGTTAGTGTGGGCCCAGCCCAGCAAGGACACCGTCATCGCCCAATTAGCGGTCCGCACGTGGCCCAGTACAAATGGTCCGCGAGTAAGCCACAATCTGTGCCGGCCCGATATAGATGGGCCACACGTAACCGCAATCTGCGCCGGCCCAATTTATATGGGCCTCACGGATTCCGCAACTCCGTTCCGTCCCGTTAATAATGGGCCTAATACATGTGGGCTAACACTTGGGATCGCTGTTTACTAAAGATTTTTTTTTCAAGTACGTCTAGCATTACTCAACTCCCATGCTTTCTGTCTAAATAAAATGAAAAAGACTTCGGTTCTCATCGTTAATGGCATATTTACGAATGAAAAGTAATTTGTGAATAAAACTTTTATATACGTGTTCTTAGCGATCTAAAAGCAAATGCTGGAAAATAAACTTTGAAGAAAAACCCTTAAAATCAACTGCAAATTTAATATTGAAAATTCAGATTTTGGCTGATAAGCATAAGCATAAGCGAAAAGATGAGGCTGTTCCATCCTTTCTCGATGGAATTCGAGCCCTTCTCAAATTAGTTTGTGTTTTCTTGTAGTTGGCAAATGTCTGAATTCTGCCATCGCAAAGAAAAAAAAAAGACTGAATTCCGATTCATTTCGAAACTTGTTGCGTGCAAAATGACAATAAGTTTTTGCAGAACCATACAGATGGATCCAACGGCCTCTGCCAACCAAAATAAAACGATGCAAACATTGCAGTGAAGTGTCCATAAAAGTTGAGCAATGTATGGCCGGCTCTGAATTCAATACAAGCAGTCCCAAATGCAACAACTGTTCTGCTCTGCAACGCTTGTTTTCCTGACCAACAGAGCCCCATTTGTAGAAACAGGTGGTATTACAGCAAAATCTGAATCTGCTGCAAATCATCTGAATCTGATCTGATTATCTGACCATAGATTTCAGCCACAAAAAAAAAAAACTTTCTTTAATTCTGCACCCTCTACATCATTGGCCTCTGACGGTCCAAGATGAGATCCAGCATTCAAAACCATCATTAACAACATGACATTTAGTAGCAAATCATCCAGATAAGTAGTATTCATAAGACGGGGACTATAAACCATCATAACAACTTGACATTAGTAGCAGATCAGCCAGTTAAGTATCTTGATGAGTCTGGAATTATTTTCACTTTCACATGCAAATGCTCTGCATAGTTTCTACTTGGGCATGATGGTCAGTTTGCCCTGTCTCCTTGAATCTGCTTGATGAGACCCCAAAATGAACTCTACGCAGTACTACTACTACTTCAGCTTTCTTGATTAAGCCCACTATGGTTAGGACCAGCTATATTCTCTGATAGGCCAAGGCAAAAGATGCCTTGAATTCCTAAAGTGCAACGAGCAAATCAGGTCAGTTAGATCATCATCATCATTATCACCATTCATCATGTCATTTCATCAGGGTAAAAGAAGAATGGAAATGACCTAAAGCAGCTCAATGTCATTATCTCACAGCAGAAGTAGTGTAGCAATATTGCAGACATTGTCACTGCTGCCAAAGAGCAAGAAATGAAGAAGAAAGAAAAGGAAGAAAAAAAATGGATGTGGGCACTGGCCAGCAGCCTTAGGATCAAAACTACACGACTAAAATCACTAAAGGCAGGCAGGCGACCTCTCTTTTCTCTAAAAAGCCCAGATCTCTGCAAGTTTCCAGGTCCAGTAAAAGAAAAAAGCTCATCGTCTCCAGTGATAATGACCCACCAAGAACATTGGCTTCTTCTTCTTCTTCAGTTTGCTGAATCAAAAACAACAGACTGATGATAGATAGCAATGTGAGCTGGTGATTCGATCATCTTGATCTATCCCCTGGTAGAAGACCAGGGGGAAAAAAATTTGGACAACTTGCGGAGGCGAGGACAGGTTCAATCGGTCGGTCCAGGCCACGGGAAGGGTCAGGTCATGTCGCGACGAACATGCCGGCCATGAAGATGTCCTCGTGGAGGGAGGAGCAGGATGAGGGCGGGGAGGAGACGATGGTGGTGTTGTTCTCGGCTTCCTCTTCGATCGGGATTTGTTGGTCCCGGCAATTGGCGCTGCAGAATGCTTTCTCACCACTGCAAGAGCAAAATCAGAATTGTTCAGTGTGCCTTTCTTACTGATGACGCAGCCGGCAAGATCATGTACAAAAGATAATAATAATGCATCCAGATGAATCAACACCAAAGAAATATGTTCAGTTTACTTTTGATACTTTTTTATTAGCAACCAATTTCCAACCAAATCAATTGAACCTAGCAATATATAATAAACCAATAATTCAGCATGCTGTTCACATGTCCAGTTCGATTTACTACATCATACTGAAATCCCAAAACATTTATGATGAACAATGCAGCAATTTGTTCGATGATTTAAGTAATTCCAGATCAGAGTTCGCTCCGCAGAAAAATGTCTTGAACCTGAAACATGAAATGTTCCTCCAAACAATGCATAAAGAAGAAAAAGAAGAAGATTGCAACTACATACCGGTAAATGTAAATGTCATTTCCCTCCAGCTTCTTCTTGCAAGTGAAGCAGGAGCTCAAGAAGTCGCCGCCGCCGGAGGCCGGGGCGGCGCCGGCGTCGCACTTCACCACCCAGTAGGACTCGGTGGGTGCTTCCGTCACATCCATGGCGGCGGCGGAGGCGGAGGCGTCCATCGTCTGGGGCTCCAAGATGCAGTCCCCAAATATGTGGGTCGTCTTGGGATTAGGGCCGCGAGCGATGATGCAGGTGTAGTCCTCCGACTGCTCGATCTCGCTCGCCGAGACCGAGCCGATGAACCGCCGGACGCCGCCGATCGACGCCGGCAGAGAGCCCGGCCCAGGGATCTTGCCGCCGCCGAGATCGAAGGAGCGGCGCTTGGCATTGGGGTGAGCGCCACCGGATCGAGTGGCCTCCGGACCAGACTTCAGATCCCCGTAGAAGAACACGCCGCACGGCACGGACATACCGCCGGCGGCGGAGGCGGTGGCGGTGGCCGCCGCGGCGCAGGACATCGCCTTGGCGAGCTCCCCCGGGCGCGGCGAGTGCCCGCCGCCGCAGTCCTTGGGCAGCGAGGCGAACGACTTCAGCGGCCCGACGCGCGGGCTGAGGAGGAGGCAGTTCTTGGCGGCGTCGTCGTCGGCGGCGGCGGCGAGGGCGAGGCCGACCGGCTCGGCGTCCCACCACGTCCTCGGCGACCGCGGCGACCGGAGCAGGAGCGCCTTGGGGTCCAGCGGCGACGTCGGGCTCCTCGACGCCGGCTCCCCGCCATCCCCCGCCCCGCGCTTCGCGGCCAGCCCAACAAACAACCTCGGCACGGCGAACAGCGCCGCGCCGCCGCCGCCACCACCTCGAACCCTCCCCGCCTCCCCGCCGCCGCCGCCGGCGTCCGTGTCCGACACCACCATCCTCCGCAGCATCGCCGCCAATCCAAATCCAAATCCAAATCCCACCTGCAAAATCGCCACGAAACTTAACAAACTCACCAAAAATGAAGAAAAAAAAAGATCACGACACTTTCACCCCCACACCCCTCGCTTCTTCCAAACAACTTCTAGTAACAAACAACAACAATTTATGAAAAGAAAAAAATAACAAGAACAGCAAGAACACCACCTCACCTTTCCTCCTCCTCCTCCTCCTCCTCCTCCACCGGCCTCTCACACTCTCGATCTCACGAGAGGAGAGAAGCGGAAGGAGACGGTGGGGAACAAAGTTTCAGTGAAATCACACACTGTACTACTACTGACGCGAGCTCATCGGTAGCACCATCTCTCTCTCCTCTCCTCTCCTCTCCTCTCACGCTCTTGTGCACTTGTGCGCGTCCTTTGCATGCATCAAAATCAGAGACGCAGCAGCGAGAGGGAGGGGAGGGGGTTGGCTTCTGAAATACTCGTACACACACGCACCAGTACACCACCTCCTCTCTCCTCTCCTTCTGCTTCAGCTTCAGCTCGGCTCGAACCCATTCATGGATGTCAGAGAAAGGGAGGCAGGCAGCTGCTGCTGCTGCAACCCTGCGGCTGTGCTGCCTGTACTACTCTACTCCCTCCGTTTTTAATTATTATTATGGGTTTTTATCCAAAGTTTAACCTTTATTTTATTTTATTTTATTATGATTAGTAATTTTTATTTTGTTATATAGTAAAATATAAATTTGTATTTTATGCATGACTTATTTTATTTTAATATTTTATATATTTTTGAAAAAGAATGGTGAAACGTTAGATAAAAAAGCAGTCAAAACGTTTTATAACCTGATACGAGGAGCGGTAGTACTATGTACTATACACTGCACCGTGTACTCTACGCGTATAGGAGTAAATATACGGACCTACGCGTGGGCCGTAGGTTGCCTGCTTGGCATGTCACTTCAGCCTGTGATGCTACAGAAGTAAACAGTGGTAGAGTATTTTTGTACACGATGCTGCTTCCGGTTTCGTGTAGGGGTAGGCGTTCTCAGATCCCACCAGAGCATCTAGAAAAATGCACGAGATTTTTACCAAAATTGTTACTACCGCTATAAACGTGGTAGATTCTCAAGAATACGGCTGCCTTTGATTGGAGAGGTAAAAAGAAAATTACTACTCCATCCGTTTCAGAAGGTAAATCATCCTAACATTTTTCATATTTATATTGATATTAATAAATTTAGATATAGAAAATGCTAAAATAATTTACATTGTGAAACAGAGGAAGTAGATACACAAAATAAGGTGAGTTATTATTATATAATTAATCAAGTATTAATTATTTTACATTTGTAAAAATAGGTTAATATGGTTTTTGAACCAATTTTTCTGTATTTTTTTAAAAAAAAACATATATTTTAGTAGCTTCAAAAGTATACACGTGAAAAACGAGGGAAATCTTATCTCCATCAGCATCTTCGAACTCAGCCTACAACGGATATATTATTGAAACATTATTGAAACGGATTATTTACCCCATCAAGAGGAGTACGTTTTTCTAAAAGGTTTTCTTTTACTGTTTACTTTGATCATTTGTTTTAGCTGTTTGTTATATTTACTTTATAATATATTTAGCTGTTTGTTATATTTACTTATAATATATTTAATTTTATAATCAAGTTGATAATTTGCGGCAGTAATTCACCTAATTTCTTAATATTTAGAACCAATGTTGCATTTTATTCACTTGGATTTTGAATCTATTTCCTTCATCTCAAACATAGTCTAATCCTAGTTATGAATAGACATATACATGTCCAAATTCACAGTTAAGATTAGGTATTTTATTGGACGATAGGTGTATGCGGTATTTTGCTTTAGTAGCTTGCAATTGGAGTAGGTTGAGACGTTGGATGAATCTGGACGGTTTTCAGCAAGCCATAAAATCACACCAGAGAAACAGAGAACTGCTTCAGTTTTAAGTGGAAAATGACAAGAGCAAAACAGTAGCACGGCCATGCATGCATGCAGTCATCAGTTAGTTCAGTGATTACACATCTTTGCAACCTCATTCAAACTCATTAATTGGCATAATTACTGCCTTAGCACTGTTGCACATGACCGGTTCCACCAATCTAAACTCAACAACAAATTTGGGACCAAAAGATAGTAAAATACTCCCGAAAATTAATTCCGCATCAAGATTCAATCAATCATCATTATCATCCTACCTAATACTACCACCACCACATAATGACATAAATCACCCCCTCCCTGTGAATGATCATCACTTGAGAAGTTCAGATTTCTCGTTGGATCACTGCATTAGGTATGCAATGTACTGTATGCACCACAATCATTGGACTTTTAGGAGAGTTTTCCCTTTTCTCTTCTTTTCTTGGTGCTGTTCTGAAAAAAGAAAAGAGAAAACCTCCCCAGCGTGTAAGCCTTTTCCTTTTCTTCTCTAATTTCCAAGCTGTTTCTGAATTATTACCACTGTTTGTAAAGGCATAAAGTGATTTGGCAAACCATACACTCTCCTGGCAATTCATCTTTTCTTCTCTCTTCTCTCTCTATATATGTCTCTCTCTCTGTTCATCTTGTGAACTTGCTTTCTTTAAAGCAGAGTGGCTTTAGCATTTAGGCCATTCACAATGCATCTACATGGCATTTGGCCTCAACTGTCCAGCTAAGCAGATGGTATACGTGGAGAAGAAAAGAAGGTGGAGCACATGTATTCACCAGCTCCGCGCGTCCTCATTTGGCTCCGAGAGCCTTGTCAGAAAAACAGCTTTTTTTAATCGCACTTGCACATGAGAAAGCGGGACACAGAGAGAGAAGGGGGAGAAGCTAACCCAAAAAAGTAAATTTTTGTGGTGGGGCCCGCATGAGAAACAGTTTGGTGGGGTCCACCTAAAGACACGCGCCCACGCCGCATTGTGGAGAGAGGAGCTTCACGCTGTTTCTTCGTACGTGGCTGTTTAGGTTCCTCAGAAAAACACGACGCAGTGCTAATGCCCTTAGGGGAGTAGAGAGAGAGTGGCTTTTCTAATGACAGTACTACAAACATGCTACTCATCCTTTGTTTTCACTGTTTACTGACTGACATCAATCTAGTGGTACTATGATACTATACCACATCATCATTGTGTATGTAGGAGTAGGGTCCTTAGCTACTTGTGCAACTTCCATAAGTTTACACTTGACAAAGTTGGCTTGTGTCCCCCTTCATACAAAACCGGGTTCAAACTCTTTTCTCTCAACTCTCCAAGGACCACACTGCCTATATGAATTCTTTCTATGCATCGGCTCAGAAACATTGTCGAGCTATAGGTGAAAAGATACTATCCAACTACAACAGTAGTAGTAGATACTATCAGTATAGTATTAAGGGCCTATTCACTTTGATGACATTTTTAACCTTACCAAATTTTAGTAAAGTTATCAAAAAAGTAACTACATTTAGTTTGCTACCAAATTTTGGTAACTATATAAGAAATCCTGCCAAAATTTTGGCAAGACTATGTCAAAATTGCTAAAATTTGATAAGGTTTTTTTTGGCATCAAAGTGAACGGGCCGTAAGAATCTCAATGTGTGTACAACATTTCAATGTGTGTGTGCAGTCAAATCTCACAATGTCAAGTGGCTAGTACATGTATGAAAGGGCCGGTTTGATTTGGTTTGTAGTGTAGCCAAACTCAACATGCAACAAATAGAAATGACATTAACATCGTTATCCTACTATAAAATTTCGTAACTCCGGAAACTTACACTCTCAAAAACTACACCAATTTTGGTAAAACTTTAAACCAAAGGGTACCTACTTATTAAAATACGCCAACATTTCGCATTGTTGCTATGATTGATTTTAGTGCCAAAAAAACTAAGATTTGATATATGAAAATGCTGAAAACTATTTATAATAATACTCATAAATATGTACTACATCTATCTCAAAATAAATACAGCGTTGGTATGCGTATCCAACATTTGACCGTCCATCTTATTTGGAAATTTTATGATTTTTTTCAAAAAAAATTAGTCACACATAAAGTAATATTTATGTGTTATCATCTAATAACAATAAAAATATTAATCATAAAATTTTTTAAATAAGATGATCAAACATTGGATATGAATAGTATAAAACTGTACTTATTTTGAAACCGAGCGAGTAAGAAATTCAATTGCTGAATGTGTGTAGATACGGTGTTGACATCTTGGCATGCAAAAAAAGATCAAAGAAATGTAGCACTAATACCTCTAGGATGAGATGGAATCGAGGTGAAATCCCATGTAGTAGATGAAACAAATCCTGAGCATGATGATTTTGTTAGTTTTGTTTTTAGGCGTGGATTTGCAGTGGGGGCAGTGGTTGCAAAACCCGACAAATCGCGCAAATTTTCAGTAGATGCTCTGCAAAGTCCCATGACGAAACTCTGAACCCTTGCCCGATATCCGATGCTAATTGGACGGTTAACTCTGTTGCCTCTCCTGATTCTCTACGCCGCCACCATCTTTTTGACGCAAAATTTTACATCAGCATGTAATTTTTTTTAAGAATAAAAATCACACCGCCACCCATCTGAATGTATTTTTTATTTTAAAAAACAAACGGAGAGAGAAAAATCACATGTTTGAAATCAACTATTACTGCATACTCATCAGTCGTATAAAAAACGAATCTAAAATCAGATGCGACACATTACTATAAATCTAGACATACGAAGTTTGTATATCTAGATTCATAATACTAAAATGTGTCACATCCGATACTAGGTTGGTTTTTTATGGGACGGAGGGAGTATACTGTTAGTCGAGGTGTTCAGCGATTTTTTTTTGTCAAACAGTACGAATTGAGCGATAGCCATTTTCTTGGGCGGCTGACCTTAGGCTTTCGTTCAAAATTTAAACTTTCGCTTTCACAGCATGATATGATGAAACAAATTTCATTTTTGCAATAGGTGGTTGCATCATATATATAATAATCGTTGGAGGAAAATCTTGTACAGCATGAGTGCAACTTTAGATCATATTTCACGGAGTTTCTTTCATATTTCATGAAAATTCTGTAGGTTTAATAATGCATCTTGGTGTTGGGTGAAAAATTTCAATATATCCTAGTGTAAAACTAAAAGTACGATGCATCTACCTAGGTTTGATGCATGCAATGGTGAAGGGAAAGAGTAACGTCACATGGATATGCCACCATACCCTACAAAAGGCACGATGATTTTGGGAGATTTTCATGTCGGTGAGGCACAGTTGCCTGCACTCTTTGAGCATGATATTATGAGAGCAAAATAGCGACAACATCGGCAACAAAAAAAGAAGAAGAAGAGGGAAGTCACCGAGGTGGTCCGGACCTGGGGTGGCGATTCGATATGAGAGCGAAGACGACGACAAGTGAAAGGGATGGAACTAAGGGGATCAAAAGTAATATTTTTTTTCCTCCGGCTATAGGTGCATCATTAGCATGGTTATTAATAATTTGTGAGGGGTTTGAATTTCATTCTTCATAAAACTCACATCAAACTCATTCTATGAACCGAACAAAAATTAGTAATGGTTGAAATGCATTTCGAGCCCATTCTAGCTATTTGCATTGATAAGGAAACTGACTTCAAT